AAAAACAGTATTTTATAAACAAATGACAAAAAAGTCTCCAAATATCTCACTCCTTTGAGGAAGGCCCCAGAATACACATTGGGTCAAAATACATCATGTTCATTCTCATTGCTCAAATATATGTATTTTGTTACCTTGAAACATTGTCTCTTTTAGCTTGCTTTTTGAGTAATATTGCTGCAACTGGTCAGGAGAAAGGGGGTTTAGGATTGTATGAATCCAGATTAGGAGAACAGACCATGAGCCATAGAGACCATATAACTAGATTTATATTTCAAAGATTGGGGGGGGGGGTGGTCTGATGATTATTCTGCATGACTAGTGAAACTACTTTTAATTACATCATTTCATTTTTGAGAGATAAAAACATATATTACCAATACTTTTTGAAGGTTCTTTTCATGATTGCCCTTTCTAGTAGGTTGCTTTTTAACATTTATATACTCTTTCCCCTGTTTGCCTTTGATCTTGCGTTATAGTGATTGGACTGGATATTCAAGATGACATGGGAAGACATGAAATTGGTCACATTGACAACTCAGTAAAAATTCCCCTGAATAATGGGGATGGATGCAGGTTTGAAAGCCACTTCAGCATCAATAAGGCAAGTTACAATCATATTACTGTATTCAGAACTTCATATCATCCTGTATGTTTTAAGGAGAAACGTTTAGAGGTTGTACAGTTTAATAAATTGACAGCAATGTGTTCTACCCATTAGCCTTTTCATGCCCTATAACTATAACACTGAGACATCACTTAGACTGCCATAGCTATGGAATGTATTCCCATGGGGGATACATTCCTGAATTTACAGTGGAAATAGGAAATAGTAGATAATAGAGAAACATATTGAAATTAACAATATGGAAGTTGCACAACTCTTCTGCTGTGCCAGCTCCAATGGCTGCCAGTTTGCTACCAAGCACAATTCAAAGTGCTGGCTTTGGCCTATAAAGCCCTAAACGGTTCTGGCCCAGCTTACCTGTCTGAACGAATCTCCGCTTATGAACCATCTAGGACTTTAAGATCATTTGAAGAGGCCCTTCTGTCGGTCCCGCCTCAGTCTCAGATACGCAAGAGACAGGGCCTTCTCAGTGGTGGCCCTTCAGCTGTGGAAAGCCCTTCCTAGGGATATTAGATCAGCCCCCTCCCTCTTAACATTTCCCAAAAAAGTTAAAACCTGGCTTCTTGGGCAGGCATTTGCAAATTCAATGTAACAGGCAATGATAGACCACGAAACGACTGACAATGCGATTGGATAGTGATTTCAGTAAGGAGACGTTAAGGATGTATGATTTTATTGACTTTTAATGAAACTATATTTATATGCTATGTTTTAAATTTTATTTTATATGTTGGGGGGCATCAAATTGTGCCGAGTGTAAACCGCATTGAGTTGCCTTCGGGGCTGAGAAAGGTGGTATATAAATATAGTAAATAAATAAATAAATAAATAAATAAATACCATAGAGCCACCCAGGAGAGCCTGGAAAATACCTAGAGGGTGAATCCATGGTAATGCCTAGTAGAATCACATCATAGAAGCACCTCCAGACCTAGAAAATTCCTAGAAAGTACATTATCCCAATAGAAATAGAAAAATCAATGCAATACAATATAAAGTGACAATCTAATCAAAATATGTTACATCCCACATTTCCTCCCAGTACTTGGTCTAAAGCAGTTAACTTCTGGGCTTTGAACATTTAGGTTTGTTCCAAGAAATCAGAATTTCCTTTCAGTATCTCTTATAGTGTTGACTCAGTCATGGCAGGGGAACAGAGTCTATGTGAGCAGGTCTTACTGTTTCCAGCAGCCAGTTGGGATGTCTGCCTGGTGAATAAATCCTGCTCCCCGAGGTTTTAAAAGTACCCCATATACTCATAGGTGAGGGGGTTATTGTTGGTATTTTGGGAGGATGGTCAGTTTTGAATGTTATTTTATTGTATTTTAACATTATATCCACATACAAATATTTAATTGGCATTTTTGACGGGATGGGTTTATTTTGTTTTAAATTGTCATTAGATTTTTGAGGTTGTTAGCACCTTGAGTCCCCGCGGGGAGAAAGGCGAGATATAAATAAAATTAATAATAATCATAATAAAAAATTCAACTCCCAAAACCTGACTTCACTTATCCATGGGTCAGTGTGACTACTGCAGATTAACTTCTTAGAAAAGGAATTGTCCCCTTCTCTGAACAGTGTGGCAAAAGGCAAGAGCTTAGTCCATCCTGAGAGAAACTAAAAGAAGCACTGGCCCTTTCTACTGTCTCCACCATGGCACTGCTTCTGGTCATTTTGGATGCCTGGCTGGGAAATTGGAGTGGCAGCCATGAGCAGCTGACCCCTTGATACGGTATTGGTGCTTTCCTCTCCCTACAGAATGGTCATTGACTTATCTATGGATCATATCAGAATCCATAATTTTGACCCCAAAACTTGCCTTTGGCTTATACAGGAGGTCAATTTATACAAGAGTATATAGGGTACATTAAAATAATGAACATATTTAGACAATATCTAAATATCTGTCATCTGAGTGACCTTTAAATCAATTATTCTAGCCATTTAATTGGTTAAATACTTGCAGCAGCTTCCCAAGAGAAAGCAGATAGGACGGGTGGCTATTTTCTGAGGCAAAGAATGATCAAAGTTGCAATAGGCTGACTTGGTGGTGTTCCCCTTGTAACCTGAATGCCAGGGACATGAGTAAACATGAAATCTGAAAGTGCCTCAGTGTTCTTTGAGGCTTGGTTGATGAGCACCAGATCATGTGTGTTGCTTTCTCCTCTCCTCCCAAAGCGTTGTACCTCCAGCCTGTGAGTCACTGGAGCACAACAGGGCCAGATCCCAATTTGCCACAGGCCTGCCTTCTGTTCCAAGCGCTGCTTAGCCCATAAATGAATGCCAGCCTGTCAGAAGAAGATATCTTAATATCAAAGAGGAGAGTCTTCACTGCTCATGTTGCAGCAGAACCCAAGTTACTCTCCCAGGGGTGAATTAAAAGTGGGCTTTGTGGGATGGGTGTGTCTGGATTTGGCTAATCGGCCTATGACTCCAGCGGGTGGGGGAGAGGGAGTGTGTGGACCGCTGCTAGCATAATAAAGATGTCACCATCGTTCACACCTCATTTATACACCACAGGCTACAAAATTATGTTGCTTCCTCTTCCTGCTAATTCATGTTAGAGCCTACCTAAAAATAACACACTGGACCCACCCATGCTCATTCTGCAGTGAAAAAAGCATTTGTGAGTGTCTCATTCTGCTGCATGATAGAATGTGATCTCCCCTTTTTGTGCTGTTTCGTGTCTTAACTAGCGTAGTTAGTTACTAACCTGAAATAGAGAGTTGATATGGAACAGCGGGCCCTTGGTTCCAGAAGCCCCCATGGATGCCAAAATCCTTGGATGCTCAGTTCCTATTATATACAATGACATAGCAAATTGGTGTGCCTTATATAGAATGGCAAAAACATTTTGCATTTTGGAAAAAAATGTTTTTAATATTTTCAAACTGTGTATGGTGGAATCCATGGATATAAAATCAGTTGAGATGGAGAGCTGACTGTACCCTAAAATTACCTTATCTTGGAAGCTAAGCAGGCTCAGCCTTAGTCTGGGACAAGGATGGGAGAACACCAACAAATGTCACATGCTATGGGGTACATGTCAGATTTCTCTAGCAAAATCACCTTCCTTGCCTATGAAAACCTCATGAAATTTATGAGGCCACCATAAGTGGACAGGCAATTTGAATGTATGAACACACATACATACAGATAAAATGTAGAAGAGAGATAAATTTTACTCTTAAAATGTAAAAGATTCACTAAAAACTCCTTTGAGATTAAAAGATCCCTTTTGGAGAAGTATCTTACATTATAGTCAGCCCTCCACATTCGATGGTGTTAGGGGTAGAGGATCCCCACAAAAGTGAAAAAAAACTGCAAATATAAAAGCTATTTTTATCTGAAAGAATGCCTTTTTGGGAATCTCTAGGTCCTTTTGTCTGATTATATGGGCAATGTCTACTGAAAGTACTTTGGTGAGGCTTACAAATGCATAGAGGAGTGCTCTCTCCTGGAATATCTAGGTTCTACAGAATGTCTTTCTGATCAGCTTCTGGCAGAAGTTATGCTGAAACCTAGAGATTACATATTAATTAGATCTGTGAATAATCAAATCTGCAAAAGTCAGAACCTACAAATGTGGAGAGCTGATAGTATGATGGGAAAAGGTTCCATTGTGCATTTAAATACATTATTTGCTCAAACAGGCCTGCTGATATCTTATATTAAAATAGTAGATGAGTAGATGAATTTACAAGGTAGGTATTGCAGTCCATTCTAACCAGTGGCAGGTTGCTACATGTTCTCCCCAGCTGTGTATCCGGTTAGGAAGGACTGATCTTCCATGGCTGTAAACCAGGCATGGACAAACTCTAGCCCTCCAGGTGTTTTAGACTTCAACTCCTATAATTCCTAACCGCCGGTAGGCTGCTATAAACCATCCTTTTGAGCAGAGCCTAACAAGCAGCTTCTTCTTGATCCTGTTTCATTCCTGGAGAATGGGAAGGAACCCATTAAACTAGTCAGTTTTGCAGCTAGAATTGAGGACGATACTCATATTTTAATGCTTGCAAGGATCTGCTTGAGAAAGAAGCTGGCCAGAGTGATGAGCTGAATTGAGCCTTCCCCACTGCAGATCAACATATGAGCATGAGCATGTCTGCTGTTTGATGTGACAGACTGAGCATGGACTTGCAAGCATTGTGTTCCTCACTGCTGTGTTAGCTTTCGAGATGTGCAAGAGTTGACTGGGATCAGAAGCTTGAGAGACTGGATGGGAGAAGGAGGAGCAGAAAAGAGGGGCCTTTAGGCAACCTGTGGCCTATGGGCAGCCCTTAGTGCAGTGTTTGAAACTCTCCCAAGCTCTCAGACCCATAATACAGATTTTTAAAATTTCAGACTATGTTTGGGGAGTGATTTCTCTTTGCCTAACAGCGAGCCCAGTGAGCCAAAGGCCCCCCAAACCACCTGAAAATACACTTGCTTGCAAACTCCCCAAAAGAAGAATGTCAACTAAAAGTCAGCCAAAATGATAGCCACATCATTTCACTCAATCACATTGAAATGTGTCAGTCCATCCTGCCTGATGGAGAGGGATGGGGCGATGGCACCCCTGTCTTAAACCAAAGACATCTATGGGCTTGGCTGCTATGATTAGGGAGGAAGATTACTTGTTCTTACCATCAGATGATTTTATAATGTATATATATAACCTTATTCTTACCATCTAGAAAATTAATTGAATTAACTATAGTTGTTCTTGTATGTAATCAGTAGGGTGTTCAAGTACTACAGTAGTGTCTCGCTTACCAACCTTCACTCATCCAATGTTCGGTATTATCCAACGCAGTCTGCCTGTTTCAATACTTTGCAATGTTTTGGTGCTAAATTCATAAGTACAGTAATTGCTACATAATGTTACCATGTATTGAACTGCTTTTTCTGTCAATTTGTTGTAAAACATGATGTTTTGTTGCTTAATTTGTAAAATCATAACGTAATTTAACGTATAATAGACTTTTCCTCAATCCCTCCTTATTATCCAACATTTTCGCTTATCCAACATTCTGCCGGATATGTTGGATAAGTGAGACTCTACTGTACTAATAAATGTATGAAATAAGGCATATGAAATCAGACTTAATGAATTGGGCTGATACCTACTGCGGCGACCTTCTGTATAGCTTAACTTTATCTTTTGCAGTACGTTGCTAACATTAACACCTCAAGGCTATGTAAGAAGCCCAAGTAGCTTGAAAGCATACACATATAGATTCACACTCTCACTCCCCTTCCTTGCCTGCTTAATGTAATCATGTTTTTCTTAAAACATTTCATGACGCACTTCCATTTGTAGGAAATAAAATGTTGAGTCTGATCATTTGCATATATATAGTCAATCATTTGTTCATTTATTTAAAATTGGCGTCCTTTTCTGGCCCTTCATTGTATACCCAGCTATAGTAATCTACTGCAGATCCTTTCCAATAACCATGTGATTTAGTCTTTTAGGCATAATAGAGTGGCATCACCAAGGTTGGTGTCACCCAGTGTGGTAACTCATATCATCACCTTCCATACTGGATCACACACTCCATAGTAATGTTTTTACAAATATTAAAGTTACTCATAAATCGTAATTCCCATATATCAGTGAAAACAATAATGTGTGCTTATAACGCTTGCAGGCACAACCATATAATTCAATTGTTATTGTATATGGGCAATAATGACAGCTCTGACCAGAGTGCATATGTAGCAGGGGGTTCAAAAGGTAATTTCACATATAGCTTTAGACTATTAGGTATATAAATACAGTACATGTAAGGTGGGCTTACAAAAATGTTTTTTACAGGAATATTTTTATTAAAAATAATAAATAAATTTCTACTGAAACTGCAGAGGATGACATCCATTGCATCCTGCACTCCCTGCACTTTCCTGGTGATGTAACTGATCAGAATTTTTTTGGTCTGAATTTCAGCCATTAGTTGGTGCTAGATGTAAAAGGCCCAAATGATAGAAGTCTTCAAAAGCTTTTTGTTTCCGATCATACAGCTAAGTCACTACTTAGAGCTTTAATTCTAATAAATGGTGAACTCTTGCTTCCGTTTAGATTCCAGGTAACTTTCATGTTTCAACACACAGTGCCACTGCACAGCCTCAGAACCCTGACATGACACATGTCATCCACAGACTATCTTTTGGTGATCAGTTACAGGTGAGTCTTGGGAGGTAGAGCTTAAGAGGGTGGAAGAGAAGCCATAATTGCTAAAGCACACTTCACTGTGTTTTTCCAAGTGTTTTTGCCAAAAAAGGCAGCCAAGTGGAAAGAGGCTACATTGTCAGCCTGAAATATCATTTCAGTATTTACTGTATTAGGTGACAGTATTGGGAAAAGGTCTGCTCTGTTGCATATTTAATATTATAATATGTGGGATGAGCATGTATGTACAAATGTGGATTGTAAGATAGGAATCCACTTCCATATGCAGGATTTGTGACTTAGAATGAGCACATTTGTATGTGTCCTTTTCATCTGTCAAATACAGCTGCACGAACTAGGTTGTTATGCAATTAAGTGCAATTTGGAATGCTGGCGTACAGCAGGAAAGAAGCAGGAGTGGATCAAGATGGAAACTAAACAGACTGCCTCATCTGGGAAAGAATTGTCATTCAAGAACTGCATTCTTTAAAAAAAACACATTCAAACACATTAAAGAAAACAGAATCAGTTCACTTAAAGAATAAAGCTTGTGCTAAAATTATTTTAAATTATTGAAAGCACTTGGTTCAGTCAATGCAGTTTGATCTCTGCTCATTTATATTTGCTTGTGTAAGCTCACTGTAGTTTTCATGCTGGTTTCATATAGTTTGCATGGTGGCTGCTCACAACAAATTTGGGTACTTTGATCACATTGCAGTCTATTGGCTGGATGGAAGAGCTCTTCATAAGGATATGTACTCTATATGAATTGCTGATCGTGGAAATGTTTGGAGAAATTTGTAACACTTTTTTCTTTCATTAAAAAATGGAGGTTTTAGGCAGCTTTCCCTTACCTGACATCTCTCTATTTTTGGTGAAATGTGCCCTCTCTTCATTTCTTGCTGAGTTGCTTATGCTTAGCATAGAAATGTCAACTGGGGGAAAAGAGAAGAAAAATACCTAACTCTTTTAGTGTACTGCTTATCAAACATAACATACCAGTTTCTCTGGTCAAACTCTGCCAGGAATTTACTTGCTTACTTTATTTTTAATCTGCTTTTCTTCCAGTATAGGGACTGAAGATGGCTAGCAATAAATATGACACAAAGCAAACTAAAACAATGTAAATGCATTAAAATGCCAAATTAAAAATAAATAATGTGTGTCATTAAAACTATTAAACATAAAAAAATCAAAACGCATTAAAACAGCACATCAGTGCCAAAATCCTAATTCTGTCACCACAAAAGCCTGTCTCTCGTCAGTCTATAATTGCAGAGGAACATTTTCACTTGCCTACAAAAGGCAATCAGAGACGGTCACCCTGGTCTCTCTTGGGAGAGAGCTACAGAGTCTGGGAGCCACTGAAAAGGCCCTCTTTTTGTTCTCACCAAACAAGCTTCAGAGGGTGGTGGGACAGAGAGAAGGCAATTTCAAGATGTTCTTAAAGGATATAAAAAGAGATGCAGTCCTCAAAAAACAACAACAACAACAACAACCTGGATCCAAGCTGTATAGGGCTTTATAGATCAAAACCAGCACTTTTAATTGTGCCCGGAAAGGGGTTGGTAACCAGTAGAATTGTTGCAACAGGAGAGTTGTGTGCTCCCTGTAGCCAGCCTCATTCAGCAGTCGGCTGCTGTTCTTTGGACCAGCTGAAGTTCCTAAGCACTTTTCAAACACAGTTCCACACAGAGTGCATTACAGTCATTCAGCCGGGATGTAACAAAGGCATGTACCACCATGGCCAGATCTGACTTTTGTTTAGAATGGGCACAGTTGGTGCACTAGCTTTAATTGTGCAAATGCACCCCTGGCCACTGCTGATACCTGGGCTTCCAGGTTCAACCTGGAACCTGGAACCTCCAACCTGCAAACCTCCAACCTGGAACCTCCAACCTGCAAACCTCAGTTTTCAGAGGGACTGTAGTTGCCATCTAACACAAACTGACTCCCTATTCCCAGATCTATATTTTGACTGACCAGGAACATCTCTGTCTTTTCTGGATTAAATTTCAGTTTGTTTGCCATCATCCGGTTCATTACAGCTCCCAGGCACCTGTTTAGCACAGGAATTAGGTAGAAAGGAAACCTAGTGGTTTCATGTAGATATTAAACATTAAGCATGGAAGGACAAGACTAAACCAGGGACTCCACAGGCCAATGGTCAAAGAGTCAGGAATCCCCCAGCAGCATTTACTGAGAACATCCCTCCAGGAAAGAACAGAGCCACTTGAAAGCAGCACCATCCAGGCTGCATCCCCACAGGCAACTCAGAAGAATACAATGGTTAAAAGCTTCTGTCTACAAATTTAGAACTATTAATCAGTGAGTACCTTTGGTGTCCCTGGGGAATACCAGATTAGGGAAGACTGTTGCTACTTCTTCTCTTTACTTTGCTCTCCTCTTTCGGAGAGCAAAGTAAAAAAATTGATTTGTCATGTCTCCTCACTCAAATCAAGACAGATTGAAGAAAAACATGTGGCTGCCTACTGGTAGTAATGGGTGTCATCTGAAGAGCTGGATATTGTTACATAACTCATGGTTTCTCTATGCGGGTGGATCACTGCACTCCACCTTCTGTAACCTACTTTCAAAGGTTCCATGCAGTTGTAGTAATACTTTTTTTCTCCACGCCTACTCACCATGCATGCTAGCTATGCTTCTTACACCATAATCTCTGCAGTTTTGGATTCTCCATATAAGTGTTTCATTATATTTCATTACACTTAATCCGGCATCCAGAGAGGCATTAAGATATTAGCATATTCATTACATTTTAACAACTATACATAATAGGATAAAAGCACTCTGGCTGTGTGTTAATGGGGAGACTGTACCTCCTGGCCAGTAGAGTGTCCAGACCATAGCATTTGAGGAGATGTATTGTTTTTCTTCACAAACAAGATGAAAACTGCTTCCAAATATCAATATAAATTCACTGTGTTGTGGTAACTGTAGGTTTAATTTCAGAACACACTTTAGTTTTCAGATTTTCAACAAAAATATGCCATTTAGTATGAAACTAACTTCAAAACAAGGATAAAATTAGGGGCCGTTTCTGGGTGGAAAGACGTTTCTGGATGGAAAGCACCGGAGGTGGGTGGGCACAGAAGCCTGATGTCTAGACTCCATAAAGACATGTTCAATCTAGCAATATCTTTTCTGGGATCATCTAGAATTCCCGGATGTAGTCGCTCTCCGCTGGACACGTTCCAGCTTGTCAATATCTCTTTTGAACTGTGGTTCCCAGAACTGGACACAGTATTCCAGGTGAGGTCTAACCAAAGCCGAATAGAGAGGCACCATGACTTCTCTTGATCTAGACACTATACTCCTTTTGATGCAGCCCAAAATCCCATTGGCTTTTTTAGCTGCTGCATCGTATTGTTGGCTCATGTTCAACTTCTGGTCTAATAAGACTCACATGTACAGTTGTCAAGCCATGTGTTTCCCAGGTGTGAAATAGATCTTGAAATTTTAGTTCCATGAGATCTTTCACGATACATAGTATTAATGTACAATATGACCATTAGACATACAGTAGATTAGAAATAGTAAAGCAGGCCCAACTGCTTTACTATTTTACTATTTACAATATTGTAAATAATTTACTATTTACAATAATTACTGAACCAGCAGCATTATTGAAAAGCTTTCGTGTTCCAAGATTTGTAAGTCTGTTTTCTCCATGCCTCAAGAGTTAATGGTTAGTAGGCAAGATTTCATTATGTAATGTTCAGACACACCTCTGAAACAGATGTTGACCTGAATATGTTAACCCTCCAAATTGGTTTCACAGAACACGCATTGCCTGTACACATTCTTAATCTGAACCTTCCCGAAGTTTCATGTCTATATATCCACCCTTCCATTCCTGGTAATCACAGTCCCTTGTTTGTTTTCCTCTTTGAAATATTCTGACATAAAGAAATTACAACAGGCTACTCAACCCATCTTCTTGCAGTGGTGATTTACACCAAGGCAGGCTCTTTGTCTGGCATGTTGTTGTTTGTTTCAATTGGCAGCGGCTCTCTAGTATCTCACCATTTGCATCTCATCCATGTTTTTTTAGCAGAGAAGTTTGGGACTGAACCTGAGGATGTCTTCATGCAGGACTTGTGCTCTAATATTGAAATTTGACCTTTCCCCTTTCATTTGGAATAGTATAGCCAATGTGGTCATACCCATAAAGCATGAATGGCTGCTCCAATGATGTCTGTGTTGGTTAACTGTGCAGTCTCAACATTAGATGAGTTCATCTGAGACAGTTCAGTTTCCAGAGAATCAGAAAAAGAGAAGCTTTTTTGTTATGTTTTTGACATGCTTGAAGATTTGAAATTTTAATTGATTTGAATCTAATGCTGTCCTGAACAAACACTTCTACATTATGACAAATGGCATAGTCCAGATATTGTGTCCAGCTTCATATTGCAAGGTGGACTCCCTTAGCTCATAGAGCTGGACTGTTATTACTTTTGATTACAAAGAAGAGGGAGCAGGCTTGTTTTTTGCTGCCTGGATTCGGAGCAATGGGTTCAAATTCCACCTGAATATTAAGAAGAACTTCCTGACTGTGAGAACTGTTCAACAGTGGAACTCTCTACCTTGAAGAGTGGTGAAAGTTCCTTCCTTACAGGCTTTTAAACAGAGAGTGGATAGCCATCTGTCAGGGGTGCTTTGATTGTGTTTTTTCAGCATAGCAGGGTGTTGGACTAAATGGCCCATTTGGTCTCTTCCAACTCTACTCTTTGATTCTATGACACTAAGTTTTAATAAGTTTTTAAAATTATTTTGTGTTAGTTTTTATATATTAACCATTATAAACCTTCAGAAACAGGGTAAAAAAGTAATTACCTGAAGGCCTGTAGTTATGCTGAGAGGCTTCAGTGCAGTGTATTTAATTTGGGAGAATTGTATAAATGTGAGAAACTTGCTCCGCAGTGAAGATGAATGGTATGTCAAGTAACATGTGAATTGCAGTAAGAACTGAACAGGTTCATTCTCTCACTTGCTTCCAGTTTCCACTAGCAATGGAAGAGCATTCAGTCTTAAAGCTGATTTATTCTTGAAGCTTGAACATACAGATTTAAGTATGTTTTGCATTTTTTCCCTCTCTAGGCCCAGAAGGTTCGTGGATCTTTCAATGCATTGGAAGGGGCAGACAAGCTCAGCTCAAACCGTAAGTGTCCTCTCTGTCTGTTAGGGCCTTGTTCAGTATCATTTTTAAAAATCCTTGGTTCAGGATACCCATAGGAACTAAATTGGTTGGTTTTGCTTGTGTCACTTTGGAGTACTTTTTAATGAGGCCATGCTCTCGACCCCACTGCTATTACAAGTGAGGTTGGTGGGGACAAGGAGCAGGGCCTTCTCAGTGGTGGCCCCTCACCTGTGGAACTCACTCCCGGGGGAAATTAGGTCATCAACTTCCCTCCTCTCCTTCAGGAGGAAAGTAAAGACATGGTTGTGGGACCAGGCCTTTGGGCAATCTGACAACTAGATAAGGACAATCAGACGATTAGGACTGACAGGACTGACAAAGTGGAATTGGAAACTGGACTATGAGATGGCGAACACTGACCGTTAATGAGGTGTAATTGGTTTTTAGTAGTTTTATTGGCTTTATTGGTTTTATTGTTATATGCAGAAACTGTTTGTTAACTGTTAATTGCTGCTAGATTGTTTTATACTACTGTTATGTGATGTCGGCATCGAACTGTGCCTTTGTAAGCCACCCTGAGTCCCCTCCGGGGTGAGAAGGGTGGGGTAGAAGTAACCGAAATAATAATAATAAATAATAATAATAATGATACGAATAATGTTAATAAAATACTGCATTGCCCTGAAAGCTACATAGGACAACGGGAGTTAAAATGTGGATGGAAGACCATCAGGGATCTCCAAGTAGAGTTAGGAAATGAGTGGTTGCCTGAAACTCTGGAGAGCTGCAGTCTGTCAAGGATGGCAACATCAAATCAGATGGGCCAGTGGATTGACTTTGCATAAGGCAATTTCCTGTATCTGAATATAACAGTAGCCAAAGGGACTTGGCACATAACAATTTGCTTTGTCTTTCCTGGGTGATAGAAGACATCAGGTTCAAAAGGTCCACAGTTTACCTATAATAAAAAAGTTCAGAAATGTCCTTATAAATGTGTTTCCTTTGAAGAGTTCTCATAGAAAAGCAGCTCATATGTATTAGAAACTGACCAACTGAACACAGAAAGGAAACGTGGAGGACAATGAGAAGGTAAACTATAAGGGCTTTTATGTAGTCTGTATCATTACCATTGACTGATCTGAGCCATTTTGGAATAAAATAATAATCCTTGCCTCAGCTGGATGCCTTGGCATTTCCTTTCACTTATTGGCTATCATGAATTTTATTTAACTGGAGATGTAGCATCTTTCTACACCATTCTTATTTTAGTGCCATCATTCCCTTGTTACGACAGAGTATTTCCCTCTCTGCTCTGTGAAGATCTCTTTCAAAGGCCCCTTTCTCCAGGAGATTATTGTAAGCAGTCCAGGAACCTACTGTCACGGGTTGTTGAACAAGTCATAGTTCTACTCCAGACTTGATCTCTCCCAGAAATGAATGTTTGTTTGTTTGTTTATAGTATTTCTGTGTCACTCCCAAGGTCTCCCAATACAACAAACACATAAAAATAAATTCAAACAATGCAAATATATAATATTTTAAAACATGTTAGAATACTCTTTAAAATTACTAAAAGAGGTCTAAAAGCAGTCCTAGAATCCAGTTGTAAAACAGTCAAAACAGCAATTTCAAACATTAAATGCCCTGCAGAACAACACTGTTTTGAATACCTGCTAGAGCAGTGGTTCTCATCCTGTGGGTCCCCAGATGTTTTGGCCTACTACTCCAGAAATCCAGCCAGTTTACTAGCTGTTAGGATTTCTGGAAGTTGAAGGCCAAAACATTTGGGAACCCACATTTGCTAGAGGCTTAAAAATCATGAAGAGCACTTCCAGACAGGGCCTATATCCCAGGATCTGATCCCAGGTTTTCTGCTTTAAACTGGATTATATGAGTCTGCACTGCCAGATAATCTGGGATAAACAGAAAATGTGGGATCAGATCCTGAGAAATTGTGCCTGTCTGGAAGGGCCCGAAGTCAACATAACTTCCTTCGATAGGGAGCTTCACAGTCAAAGTGCTGCTACAGAGAAAGCTCTGATACATCCAAGCAGTCCATACTTCAGGAAATAGAGCCCGACTGCTAAACAACAAAAACCTAACTTAATGAGTTTTGGGACATACAACAAGACCTCATTTGAAGATCTCAAATTTCTTGCAGATTCATATGTGAGAAGATGATTTTTTTGATACCTTGGCTCCAAGTCATTTACAGCATTTTAGAGCAAATTGAAAGCCAGTGTAGTTCATGCAGGATCTCTGCAATGCACGCCTGACACTATGGCATAAGCTTCTATGGCCAGACCTGTCTTTCCTAAGAAGTGGTGCAGTTGGTGCACCAGCCGAAGCTTGACAAAGGCACTGCAGAGTAACCGGCTTTCAGAAGTGCAGAATCCAAAAGCATCCCTAAGTTTACAAACCTGATCTTTTGGAGGGAGAGCCATCCCATCCAGAACTAGCTATAATAGCTAGTCCTAGCGTGGTTTTCTTACTGACCAGCAGGACTGAATTTAAACTTTGTGTATCCACTTACATCATCCTTTACTTCATTCAGACAGTGATTTAGTACGACCACAGCATCCCTGATGTTGGTTATAAAAGAGTGATACAGCTGGATATCATCAACATGGAGATGACACCGACACCCAGAAGGTCCAAATGAATTTTTTAAAAATAGCTTCATGTAAATGTTGAAAATTATATAGGACCATATTGATCCCTGCGGAACCCCATAGGTTGATGGCCAAAAGCTGAACAACAGTGTCCAGGCACCATCTCTGGCAAGATTCAACCAAGAAAGACCAGAAACACTGCAAAGCAGTGCCCTGAGATCCCATATCAGACAGATGATCCAGATAGATACCATGGTTGATGGTTTCAAATGTATCTGACGACCAAAAGGGACTCACTTCTTCTGTCACATTCCCAGTGTAGGTCTTTCACCAAGGGGACCAAGATTGTTTCTGTTCCACAACCAGCTCTGAATCCAGATTTGAATGGGTTCAGTTAATCTGTTTCATCCAAGAAAGCCTGTCACTACTTGCTCCAGGACCTTCCTTAAAAAAGGGAAATTAGAGATTGGTTTATAGCTACCCAATGAGATGGGATGTGGTGAAGGGGTTTTTTTCCCAACAAAGGCCTTACAATTGCTTCTTTTGGGGAGGTTATAGGAGGCCTCTATCTAGATGAATTTACAGCCTCTTGATTAGTCTTTTTCTGGCAGCTTTAATTAGTCAGGATGGACATGGATGTAACAGAAAAATAGTTAGCTTCACCTCTCCAAGCAACTCGGCAATATGGATATTCTGATCAACCTGAAACTCATCCATCAAAAATGGACAAGCACCCGCCTCAGTCGCCGTTCCAACTCTACCTTCAAAATGGCATCTACGTCAAAAGGAATCTGATCTCTGTCTATCTGTCCATCCATCCATCTGCCATTAAGCACTTTCTGTCAAACTTAAATAGGGTTGTGTGAGGACCTTCCAGCGTCTGGCCAAAGTAGCCTTTTATAGTACACTGAAAAGGTGCAATGAATGCTGTGGAACAGTTGGAGGTTCTAAATCAGTGGTTCTCAACCTGTGGGTCCCCAAGTGTTTTGGCCTACAACTCCCAGAAATCCCAGCCAGTTTACCAGCTGTTAGGATTTCTGGGAGTTGAAGGCCAAAAGATCTGGGGACCCACAGGTTGAGAACCACTGTTCTAGGTAAAGTGTGCAGCACCTACCGAAAACTTGATTTGTGTTTGTAGGAGTCCTCTGAAACATTCTAATAAAGGTTATATACGGGGTTTTGCCCTGCTAAGAATGAGGGTAGCACAGGGAAGAGTAGGCCAATTTAGATTCAAGACTTACAATTAATTTGGAGAGGGGCTATATTCTCTATCGTGTATCTATGTTGTGATGTTTCCATTTTTTAATATGAACATATCCTACTTTTTACCCGTAACTCAGCCCTTGCATCACACGATTATATACTGAAGATTGTTCCCACTGTGTATGAAGACATGAGCGGAAAACAGCAGTACCCATTTCAATATACTGTCGCTAATAAGGTAAGGATAGCCACATATTTTTCTAGAAAAGCTCAAGAAATGTTAATTGGAGAGACCTTGAGAGTTGCAAGTCCCATTACCACTGTTGATCTTCCGCAGAGCTTGCTGCGCTCAAACTGAGGGCAATAGCGGCTCCTGCTGGTCACGTGGAACAGTGAAAAGAAACAGAAGAATCAAGAGCTACTAGAACTGTCTGGGATTTTTTTTCTTTTTCTTTTTGCAAATTCTGTCCTGATGTATTGTGCATATTGGGCTATCATACTTTGTAGACATTCCAATCCAGTGCTCTGCTAAAAAAATCAAAATATGTAGAAAAATATGTTTATACTACCATGTTATGAAAGAAATATATGTTTAGTCATATAATGTACTTGCGGATTTTAGTGTAGAATACTTACAGTAAGCAGAAGCAGTATGGAATAGTACAGATGAAATGGGGAAATGGTACAAACTGGAAAAAAAATTACTCATCTCTACTTCTTCTTTTGCAACAATGTGCTGTAAACGCATGGGTGGGTTACTGTACATGAGGGTATTTGTAAATTTCCAGTCCTGTGACTTAATTTTTTGTTGGTTATCATCTCTATAAAAAGAAATGTAATGAGGTGAGTGCGAAGCAAAATGGCTTTATTTGTAGTGAGGAAGTAAACTGTACATTTTGTTATAGTTATTCTTTCATTGGTCAAGTTTGTGCAGCTTGGGTAGATAAACCACACCCAGTACCTAAATATGCAATCAGCATGCATATTCATTACAGCATGTTGGATTGCTCAAAAGTTTTTCTGTTCTAAAATATATAAAAGAAAACATCTCTTAAAATGCCTAATTCTTTAATCTGAACATTTATTGAACTATACAGAGCGCAGGTTCTGTTAGAGAATTTAGAAAAACAAGCCTATTGCTTCACAGAGCCGTGTTGTGCAAGTAGCAGTGAGTTAGATTGTTTTCCTCTGAAACTTAAAAAGCTTAGTTTTCTGTATTCCTTCTTTTTTCCCCTTTTAAAATGTTTATTTACCTCATGTCAAAATCATTGAAGAAAATAGCTTATCTAAAACTGATAAAATAAAGGTATCTCAAGCTGCTCAATAGTTTTAGACCAAAAACAGGCAACAGCAACCACATTGTCTGTAGGTTTAAACTGTTCTTCCTCTATGCACGAGGCAGGGCATTGTGGACAAGAATACAGATGTGGAATTGTTTGTTCTGCTCCACAATCGCACAAGGTGGAGGATTCTTCTAGGTAGTGCCATTTTGCCAGGTTGTCTTTTGATCTGCCCACTCATTTTTGAGTGTGTTCAGGGACTTACAAGTTGGCCATTTTTGGTTTGCCAGGGCAGACCCTCACTGGAGGGGGGGGGGGGACATCCAGTTGTAATTGCCTGATTTTGCTGCCCATAGGGTTATTCTTGCTATTGCTGGGGGAACATTAAGAGGAGTGGTGGTTCTCGTGAAGCTTTTCCTTGATTTGAGTCTACTGGGAGGAGGCTGATAGCCATACAGTGGGTGGCTTTCACAGTGTTCAACCTTATTTCTCTCGCAATTGGCAGCAACTTCCTGTCACACATCAGGGGGGCGATGCCAGCTTGTCTATCAACAGGTGTAGGTTTAAGACATCTTCTGATTATTCTACATGTCTCATTTAGTACTATATTCACCTGGTTCACGTTTTTTAATTATAATGTTTTGAATTGTTTTTGAATCCTGTTTGAATTGTTTTTGAATTGTTTTGAATCCTGATATTTCATGCTAGAAATTGACATCAATGAAATAAACCTGTGTAGATTTCCTAGGCCAAGAATACAAAAAATTCTGCCTGCATCCTCTTAGTATTTTTCCAAATTTATTTGGCAAACAACCCCAGCTTGTTTGGCTCTGAAGTTATTCCAATTGGGGTCTTATATTGGACACCTTTATCACTTCTAGCCACTGGAAACTAGAAGGGAGGAAAATCTTTAGAGTGCATATTTTACAGGGCTGCCTGACATTTTCTCGCTTCCTTTTCCTATGCCCAGAAGCTTATTAGTACTATTTTTCTGGAGAGGGAAATGGCACTTAAAACATCAAATCATTGGGTAGGAGCCAGATTTAGTCTTACCTAGATGAAATGAAACTCACAACTTACTTGACTTCTTTGATTTCAGTGGGTCTGCTTTAAGTGTGCATAAGTCTAGTACCATAGCATTGTCTTGAAGGCAAGAAGCAGGTGTAAAGGGAGTATTCTTAGATATCTGATGTTCATGGCTACTGCTTTTCATCCCTTCCCTACTTCCTCCTTCTAGGAGTATGTGGTATACAGCCATACAGGACGCATCACTCCAGCTATCTGGTTCCGTTATGACCTGACTCCCATCACATTGAAATATATAGAAAGGCGGCAGCCTTTGTACAGATTTATCACAACAGTAAGTTACTGTGATCTTTTTTCTACTTTTAACTTGGTTTTATATTTTCCCAAATGTGTTCAGCAGAGCTCATGTGAAAGCTGTGTCAGAAAAGAACCACAATGCTGAAGTCTCACCCATTTGGAGCTGGAAAGGGTTTTAGTGGTTTCTCCTAACTGTTGGAAGATAGGGTTGCCCCCTGATTGCTCAAGGGAAACCTAAGAGCTGCCTGTGGACCCATCTATACAGGCATGGAAACACATAAGAAAGTGGGATAAAAGAGGGGGTGGCTGCAAAACACACCCCCATAATGCACACTCGATTGTGGAACGGCATGGAAAACATGTGATAAAAAGTTTGAATAAAATCCAAGACCAGGCGGAGAATGCACTGCTACAGAAGATTGTATATTCCAGGGCTCCCCAAAAATGAGAGTACTTTGTGGTACACTGGTGTAAACTTCTCCAGTATTTATCCTCATTATAAAATCCTGAAACAGCCAACAGATGTGATGTAAACAGATGGAGCCATGGACACGCAGGTGGCTAAATGGAAGCATGAGAGGAAAGCAATTCCCATGAAAACTCTCTCCAACCATTCCTTTGTTCTCAATTCTTGCGTATTACTGAATGAAAATGAAGCTTAAAATTACACAGTGGGCACCAGCATGTCGCAGGCAAGTGACCCCAAAGGGAAATGGGGTTCAAGAGAGCAAACTTGGAGGTACCAAGAGTAAGGGTGAGGAGAAACAATGACAGAAAATCTGCTTGTGCACATTAGTTATATTTGCATCAATGCTGCAATATTAGCAAAATGCTTATGAGATGCAACACATCTTGGAGAGTCATTAGGGAAAAAATTAAAGGAAATCTTCAGGCAGATGTCCCGCCATAGCTTTTGTGGTTCCATTAAATCCACATTAACCAGACCTTTGTGGACAACATGGGACCATTTAGCAGGACTAATGAGTTCGTGTATGAACTTTCCTTCAGGTACCAAGATTTTTAAACCCACTTTGCTACTCTGGATTGACTGATTATGTGGAAGGGTCCTAAATTGACCATGATAATCCCTTAATTCTTGGAAGAATTGTTTGACTGTTTTGTGCATTTCAAATTGATAAGATTATCTGTTGTGGGTTCCTGCCAAAGTTGGATATTTTGAGATAACTTCCCTTTCACTGAAACAGGACACTGGAACAGTTTGTCATCTTTCATTCAGGTTTTAAATCTTACTCTAACTTGCTTTCTACTGCCCCCTGCTTTTCACTGCTTTCCTTGTGGTGGTATTATACAAACGTCTACACAAATGACTCTTGAAGTTTGCAGTATGTACAAGGAAAGGGAGAACTACATGATTCTGCACTACAATAGACAATAGTCTGACTTTACTTTTCAAAAACTGTATCTTTCCTTTTTGAACTATTATATAGTATTTGAGCAATAGAAGACAACCTAATGTTTTCAAATTGAAACTATCACAGGACAAAGTCCATAGATTGCATTTAGAGAACCAGATGGTATCTTAGACTAAAAGTAAATAAAGTCATAACTTATATTTGAGAAAATAATGTGTGTTCTAAATATTCTTGTGAATCTCAGTGGAAACTCCTGTTTAAATTAATGACTTTTTCCATATCCTGTAGCCTCACTATACCCTTGGGTGGATCAAAGTTTGTGAGCATATTTCATAAATGCTTCCTTTTTTGTGTCTGCTTCCTTTATCTTAAAGGTTTCTAGATGTACAAACCATGTGAAAATTCTTTGGTGTGACTTCCCCCTACACGTTATTATCTGGAATCACAAACATGCAAAAAAGTGTGGAAATAATGTTATTTGTTTACATGATTTACATGCTTGATGGGGAGAGCAAGACCATAGCTGCTATCCCCATCTCTCACGCTTTTGGCAGAAGAGGAGAAAGGATTGTCCTCAGGGAAACCTGAAGAATATACCAAGACACTATCATATAGAAACCTTATGGTGCTGGATGCCAGGTCACAGGGCACATTCAGATCTTACTCTCAAGGTGTGGGCAGCAGAGGGTTAGGGCTGCTGGCATATCCAAGTGAGTCCAATAGTTACAGTTACTTGTTATCGCAGTACTCCCAACAGTACTAAGATTTACTTGGATCTTATGAAATTAAGGGATTATAAAGTGGCAAGTCTGGCTGTTTACTTCCATATTTCAGAGCATAGTGCAATTGCTAAAAATTCTAATTCCTAGAAGGAATCAAACTCAAAATTTTAAATCAAACCAGAAACTTTGGATATATCATTTTAACTCATGCAACACTATCCCTTTACCATATTCTTCACACTCCCATTGGTCCTCTGCTTTGTTTGCTTCCTTATTTGTCTTGAAGTGCATGCTAATCAGAGACCAATGTAGTTTGACTCCACTTTAACTGCCATAGTTTGATGAAGTTCTAGCCCTCTGTGACAGAAAAGGCTAGAGACCTTATAAAACTTCAACTCCTATGAATCTGTAGCATTGAGCCATGGCAGATAAAGTAGTGTCTCAGATTGCTAATTCGACAGTGTATATGCACCCCAGGTGAACTTCCTGCCACCCCCTGTAGAAAGAAAGAGGAAGAGGCCTTTGGCAGGTTGGTCTGCGGCTTCTGTTTAGAGGTTGTAACCAATGCCTTTCTTGTTTGTCCCTTTCTCTTCTTTCCTGCCACTCTTAGAATCTGCACTGGCTGGGAATTAGAGCTGCTCTGTACAAGTGTTGCCTACCATTTGCCCTTGCTGTTCCTTGATATTTGTTTTGTCCCCATGATACATTTATGTTGCCTATACCCTGCATCCCAGCAAAGCAAGAACTCAGAGCTTTGAGGCTTAAGTTCTTCATCCAGGTGACAACTTTAGCCTTTAGTACAGTTTTGGTTCACTCCCGGTAAAAAATCTCTTGCTTAATGCAAGCAGTCCTTTCATAGAGTTGCTGTGAATTTTCCGGGCTCTATGGCCATGTTCCAGAAACATGGTCATACAGCTCGGAAACATGGTTGCATGACCATGTTCCATGTTCCTGGAACATGACTATACAGCCTGGAAAACTCACAGCAACCCAGTGATTCCAGCCATGAAGGCCTTCATTATATTTGTTTTTTCCCCCCAACAAAATAAACAATGCCTTGTATGTACTATCTTTACATTTCAACTGTATTGAGACAGCAGGCACATGTTTTCCCAGCATAGAGTATTAAGATCTGTTTGGATGTTCATTTGTCATTAAATTAAGATCCTTTCTAGGATTGAAACTAGAGTGCTCCAGATACTGCTGCTTTAGAATCCCTTTCAGTCCTGCTAGTGACACTCCATCCTGACATCATCCGTGCCATCCCAGCCTTTAGTAGCATCTCTAGTGCCTTTCTGCATCCTGGTTGCCCTGGAGACTGGCTAGCCGTCATCACTGAGAAGAGGCCACAGCCTTGTAGCCCAGACAGGGATTATCCACTTGTGGCAGCTGGAGTTATTGTCAAGTAGGGCTAGCCTCAGAAGCCTCCTCGATCTGGTTAAGCAACAGATGCTTGGCTGAAAAGCTACAAAAGAAGTTTGTGGAAAGAGCACCTGCTGCTCCTTTGTTAAACAGCTTGCTTATCAGGCTGCAGCCATGCAACGGTCACAGAAACACTGGAAGTTTTTGTAAGTGGGTTTGCATGAGCATAGGTGGGGAAAAGATCTTGCCAGGCTGGGAAAAATTTTGGCCAGTTTGGAAATGTAAAACATTTCTATTGTTACCTTAAAGAGACTTACTATTTAGCATTGTTCTCTGTGAAAGCTTTGAAGCACGGCTGTCAAGAAGAATAATATTAAACTGAAGTATTTCTGATCAGTCAGGTGGACCCTGGTAAGATATTTGATTGCAGGAGAAGCAACAGAAAGGTATGGATTTTCCATTTTGGATTTAGCTTCCATTATGTTTCTAAATTACCTTTGGCCTGCAGAAGAACTGCTGGCAAAACAATGGATTAAGAAGCAGTGTTTTAAAATAAATACTGCTTTCTTCACATATCTAGTAGTTATAAACAAGAGGTAAAGGAAATTAACTACCAAGTTGCCTCTGCCTTTGATTTGAGGATGATATCTGCTCACATATTTTGTGTGACCTGTTTTGTTTGTTTTTTTACAAGAAACTCAGAGCAGCGTAGCTGATAAGACTGTTGTCAGGCAATATACAGTCATGACTGCTTATTTCCCATGCAATGAGCTTTTTAGCTTTGGAAGGAAAATGGAACCACTGAACCTAGGCAACTTGTACATATGGAGGAGGGGGCCTCCTTAGTGCTCTCTTATTAAATCAAGATATAAAACATTTTTAAAACTGGGAGCATCTAGGCTTTTTACAGTAAGAACAAGAGAGATGAAACTTCCAGCGTAATGCTGAATACAAAAGACATATACTCACTGCTTTCTTAATGGGCTGCATGAGTGGGGAGCAGAGTCACATGCATGACAAAATAATGAAGTATTTGCTTTATTTGGGAAGCACTTAATTTCTAGTAAAAAATAAAGGATTCCCCTGACATTAAGGCTAGTCATGTCTGACTGTGAGGGGTAGTGCTCATCTCCATTTCTAAGCTGAAGAGCCGGCATTGTCCATAGACACCTCCGAAGTCATGTGGCCAGCATGACTGCATGGTGCGCTGTTACCTTCCCGCAGAAGTGGTACCTACTGATCGACTCACATTTGTATATTTTTGAATTGTTAGGCTGGAAGAAGTTGGGCCTAACAGCGGGAGCTCACTCTGCTCCCTGGATTTGAACTGCCAACATTTCGGTCAGCAAGTTCAGCAGCTCAGTGGTTTAACCTGCTGCGACACCAGGGGGGCCCTACCTACTTTCTACCTAATGGGGAGGGGGACAGAAAAGGGGCCTGAATAAAGAATGAGGGACATTTATTTTTCCTGCAGGCAGACATATCTGTTTCTGTTGCATGGCAGCAGGCCAGTGGCAGAGAGGGGCATGGGTGGGTGGCCACCTCTTTCTCAGTATATTTATTCTCTCTCATCCACATTTAGGCACACATACAAGGCACTGAATGAAAAAGGCGGAGGTGTCTTCTTTCACTTAAAAAAATCCTTCTCTGTAGTAGAATGTCTTGAAATAGATGGGAAGATTTATGTTTTACTTTGGTTCAGACCCTGGGAAAAGCAGTATTCACTCTGAGGGAGCAAGGAATTGGGGCCCCCTCTACACTGCCATATAATCAAGGTTATCAAAGCAGATAATCCAGTTTATCTGCTTTGAACTTGATTTTATGAGTCTACGCTGTCATATAATCCAGTTCAAAGCAGATAATCTGGATTTTATATGGCAGTAACGAAGTGACCTGAGATGATGTTGTTAATGCAGTCCTGCCATAGGGTCTGCTCAGCAAGATTTATTCAGGGGAGATTTGCCATTTCCTCTAAAACTGAAAGGGAGTGACTTGCCCATGGTCAAGCAAAGACCTGAATCCATGTCTCCTATTCCAGTACTCAAACCACTACAATGTGTTGAGTTGCACAGTATTATTTCAGTTTCAGTGTCCACTGGTCATCTGACGTACATGTGCAGCCAGTCAAAAGAAGTACACTGATGCCATGTATCAGATTTTTCTGTTTTTAGTTAGTAAGACCTTGGTAGATTAAACAATTGTATTTCTTATTTTCTGGGACCTGTACTAAGGGGATTCTCTGGCAGAAGTTATTTAATTTCCCTTTTTCAAAACAAAAAAAAAAGTCTTTCACCTGCTCCCTCATACCTTCTTTCACCATTTGGTTCTACCTTTTTTGCCTACACCAAAATCAAAAAGATTTAAGTGCATGCAGTAGAGGAAGGGATGCCAGGTACATGTGAGTCATAAACAGCAGGACAGAGCTGTACAAATGAATACTTTTTCTCTGCTTATTTTCTTCTTCTTGTACTTGCTGCTGTGAAGTCATATTTTCCTTCCCTCGTTGCACAAAATACATTCCTTTCCTTTCTTTCAGTAAAAGACCTCCTGTGTCAGCTGATCTATATGGTTTGGTTATCCAGCTCATCCTGTCATTATTTCCCCTGAAAAATAACTCTTGAAGAAAGACTAGATCAAGGATAGGGCAAAGTTATAACTAAACCCATTTCTTTTTTAAGGTAATAATAGTACAAGTATTGCTTTTTCTGCACTTTTTGTGGTCTGATTCCCCAGATTGTCAGCTGTGCTTTGAAAAAAAAAAAAAGCATTTGCTTTGCCTTTCTGTCATGGAAATCATCTTCCAGTTTCACTGAGCTCACTGGACACAAATATCTGAGTTAAAAATACACATCAAAATGACCAATTTCTTCCTTGTTGCTATTTCTGCTAATTGCTATTAAAATCTGTCCACTCATATTACCCAGTTCTCTTTCTAGCTTAGCCTCTCTTCTCATAAACAACCATCTCTGTGTCAGAGGCTAAGAGATCTATGTGGAAAACAGCAGGAAAAATTAGCTACCTTAGAATATGTTTGTATATTATACTTAATTAGGAATGAATCCCATCATATTCAATGGGATGTAAACCCAGATAATATGTCTAAGGGGCTAATATACTGTAATGGTTTAGTGTTTGACTAGAATGCTGGGAAACCAGGTTTGAAATCGTCATTTGGCCATGGAAACTCATTGAGTGTCATCGCAGTCTAGGTCAGAGGTGTCAAATTTGTAACCTTCATGTGTTTGGGACCCTAACTCCCAGAAGCCCCAGCGAGTTTGTCCAGTAATCAGGAATTCTGGGAGCTGAAGTCCAAAACACCTGGAGAGCCACAGGTTTGACACATCTGATCTAAGTCCATGAAGAAGGCAATGACAAAGCCCCTTTGTCAAGAAGTTTTGAAGTTACAAGAGTAGAGTAAATTTCAATTAAACTTTCGAAGGGCCGTATTGACAGTCGGAGTGGCCCAGAAATGGAACCAATTGAGAGGTAAAGGATAAAAGTCTCCTTCTTTGATTGTCCTCAACTGGGGATGGTCTAGCTAGAGATCCTGCATTGAGCAGTGGGTTAGGCTCGATAGTCTATGTGGCCCCTTTCAATTTGATTCTGTAACTTTAGGCTTCATGATCTAGTGGCTGAACTGATCTCATCACAAATAACATTATTATCTTCCCCACTCACTGTGCAATACATAAGATTATGATTACTGTGCTCTACTGGAGATGCTCTAGCTCAGTGATTCTCAACCAATGGGTCCCCAGATGTTTTGGCCTTCAACTTCCAGAAATCCTAACAGCTAGTAAACTGGCTGGGGTTTCTGGGAGTTGTAGGCCAAAACACCTGGGGACCCACAGGTTGAGAACCACTTCTCTAACTGGAGATTCTGCATTAAGCAGGAGTTGGACAGACCCTAACAAATCACCACCAATGCATTTGAGTCACTTCAGTTCTGCTTCTCTCATTGGTTGTGTAAGTTAATAGATAGCACTTCTAAGATTCAATCTTGATCCTGGATTTCAAAATCCTCTGCAGGGATTTAAAAGTGGCCAGAGTGTGCTATGATCACTGATAGTTGCCTCCTGACAGACAACCTGGGTGGCACATGATATCTGTAACCTTTACGTTAGATAGGAAAGGGAGCACAATAAGCACAAATCAGTCTCTCTATACTAGCTTTCTCACTGCTAAGAAAGACTCCCAGAGGCATGTGTTTAGTGTGGCAGATCCGCTGTCCGGAGAGGATATCGGTTCATTGCACAGATTGTCTTTCTAAGGTTTAGTTCCCTCTTCCTTCCAAAGATGCACCTTACCACAAGATCCATGCTCTCCCTGGCAGCCTGTGCATGGGAAGCATTGTCATAGCACTGAAGATCTCATCTATATTCCTCTCTGCATCTCTTAATATCTCCAAGGCTCAGACCTGCCGCCAACAAACAGGACCTCATTACATCAAACACCCACACAGTGTCTACCTCACAAATAGATACGTGTGAAACTCGTACACCACTTAACTTTCTCCCTTAATAGCAGGATGTTGATCTATATGGTTTGTTTATTTGAGAAATAGGATGTTGGGGGCCAAATGGAAAGTTGCTGTCCTAGCCTCCTTGCTCTAACTAGACTGCTTATGTGACATTTTATCACTGGCATTGGAATTACTGTAATTGTTGCTCAAGGCTTCCTTGTGCTTAGCAAATTCTGAAAAGAAAGGGATGCAATTCAGTACAGAAAGAACATCAACAATTGCCATTGGGTGCTGATTTAATCCAAGCAATGACTGTCATACCGAGTACTGAGAGCCAAGTGAAATCATATGCTGTATGTCTGGTGGGTTCATTGGGGAATATCTACAGTGTAGGATTAATGCAGCTGGACACTGATTTAACTGTCATGGCTCAGAGCTATAGGCTGATGGGAACTGGACTTTTGCAAAGTCTTTAGGCTTCTCTGCCAACGAGTGCTGGTGCCTCACCAAACTACAAATCCCAGGATTCCATAGCACTAAGCCAAGGCAGTCAGTGTGGGGCTGACAGTGTAGATGCATCCCTATTCAAAAGCAAGGGGCAGACAAAGATAAAGAGCAGAAAACTGAGGAAAATCAAGGGGTGAGGGAATTAGATCAGGAACATGTTTTAGCAGAGCATGTAGAAAGATAGTAAGCTATGCTATTTAATAAAAGGCTTTTGATGAAGAAGGAGGTCAAATTGCTAGACATGGATGTGGAAAGCAAAGTTTAAATTCACACTCAGTTCAGTCAGTGACTACCTTCTGCCTCACTTTCACCCATCTAAAAACAGCTACATAGAAACTAAAATCCAAGGACTACTGTTACAGATAAGGAGAACCATCTTAGTCATTTTTGAGGGGGGGGGAGACAAATTAACTCTCTCTCTCTCTTTTCATGTATCAGATTTGTGCCATCATTGGAGGGACGTTCACCGTGGCTGGTATTCTTGACTCCTGCATTTTCTCTGCCTCTGAAGCCTGGAAGAAGATCCAGCTGGGGAAGATACAGTAGGAAAGCATCTCTCTGTCCGGTTCTGTGAGAAGAAACAAAGAATGAGAAGCCCACAGCTATCTTTCTTTCCCTATTGGTTTAGTTGATACATGTAACATTGAGTTAGTGCTTTGATAGTCTTTTAAAGCAGTAATTGAAACAAAAACAAAATAAACTACCCCTATACCAATCCAATCCACCCTAAGTATCTTGAGGTTAACTGTGTTAGCAAACAGATATTTAAAAGATAGAAAGAAGTGTTAGTCTGTTTCACCATTAAAGGGAGAAGGGAGGAGGAAGAGAGAGGAGTGTTGTGGCATTTCTAACCAGTCATATTTTAATATCCCCAAAGTGTCAAATAAAATAAAATCCTTATTTTAACATAAGTAAACAAAACAATTATTTTAATATAAACAAATTACTTATTTTAACATTAGCTTTTGTGGATTACAATCCACTTTTTCAGATGCACTGATGGAGTGTTACACTGTGTGCATAGTACTCTATATATTAGGCTTGTGCACTGATTCGGTTTGGTCAGACCCATCGGCCAGTTCGGCTTGTTCAGCTTATTCAGCTGACTGCCCCCGGTGGCGCAGTGGGTTAAAGCACTGAGCTGCGGAATTTGTTGATCGAAAGGTCGCAGGTTCGATTCCGGGGAGCGGCGTGAGCTTCCACTGTCAGCACTAGCTTCTGCCAACCTAGCAGTTCGAAAAAATATAAATGTGAGTAGATCAATAGGTACTGCTCCGGCGGGAAGGTAACGGTGCTCCATGCAGTCATGCCGGCCACATGACCTTGGAGGTGTCTACGGACAACGCTGGCTCTTTGGCTTAGAAATGGAGATGAGCACCACACCCCAGAGTCAGACATGACTGGACTTAATGTCAGGGGACTACCTACCTAACAATAAGGGCTCAGCTGCCATGTTTGTTTGTTTTTTGGCTGAAATGTCCCACCTGGCTGCAGGTGCAGTTTCTTCCCTTCTGTTTGGGAACACATGGTGCATGCTTTCTTAAACCCATTCTTCAAGCCAGGCTCCTTTGAAAGGAAGAGAGGAATGGGCCCCAGGAAGGGTGCTTCCTTAACCCCATCCCTCAGCTCAGGCCCCCCAGAAAGGAAGAAAGGAAAGGGTCCCAGGAACAGAAAGGGGAGCCTTGAAAGTTCCTCATTCCAACCAATGGGCTAGATCTTTCCGGATCTTTCAGCTGCCTAACTGAAAAGAGATTTTTCCATTAGTCGATTTTCATGAGTCACCCGAAAACAGATCTGGGTACCCAACAAAATTTGGATACCAAAAATGGATCGCCCTCCAGCCAAATTACACAAGCCTACTATATATGTATCTATTGTGAAGGATTTGTTCTCAAGAGGAAATCAAACACATTAAGGGAAATGACATGCAAATATTTTGGGGGGGCAGTGCCTGAAAAGTTTTTTTTTGAGAGATGCTCTTGACAAGTGATAGTGTTAAATAGGATAAATATTAACAGTACCTGATTCCATAACAAAATTAGAGAACAGTTAATTTTTTTGACTCTTTGAGGTTATTAAAATATCTCAGCCAACTGACTATCCAGTCTTGAGTGTTTACAGATAGCATAAAGTACTTGAAAACTTGAACATAATGAATGAGATGAGATTATAAGAGTCTGGCTTTGTATAAGAGAGGGAGCTTCTATAGGACTCGTTCAAAGCCTTTGATGTACGAAGAAGATACGAAGAATTCAAGTAACCTGGACAGGAAAGACGTGTGTCTTCCATATATGCAGAACAGATAAGATGTTGCCCTCACTATGAGGAATCCCAATACTTGCACACCACCTTCAATGGTACACCATCTCCAGTTTTAATTTGCTAATACTTTCCAGACTGACAGCCAAAAAGGCAAAGGAATATTATTATTTGATGCCTAAGATACTGGCATAGCATTTTGAGGAACAGGACAAAGTTGCTGCACAGAGATTTTCCTACTGATATATTTCAATCTGAAGCATATAACAATAGGTTTTTCACTCCCAAAGAAGAGTCCTGGGAAGCAGAACTTTTATCAAGTATTTTTTTATAGACAGTCAACATAGGGAACTAAAATAGGATATTTCCACAGACCTCAAATAGCCCTTTGTTATATGAACCAACTGATAATATTACATGCTTTGTACGTTTTATGCTACCTGGGACTGCATACACATCTACTATGTGTTTTCTAGGTTTTGCTGCACTTCTTAAAACAAACACTAAGAACCCTCATGTTACAATTTGGAGAAAAGCATTATTCTGCAGTTGGAACAGTGTGTGGTCCTATAAGGGTTGCCTTTTTAAAAAAAACAAATGTGTGTCAAATTGATACAGTGTGACTAAGTAACTTTGGCCCAGATGTATTTCAAAGTATAATTCTGTGTATGTTTTTTGTCAGTAAATCCCAATCAATTCAGTGGGGCTCATTCTTAAAGAAATATCAGATTACAGTCTCAATCTGTCCAGTAAAATTCACGGTTTTGGTATAGGGAAGATAGTTGGTTTTTGTCTGTTAAAAGTAGTATGGATTTTTTTTTCATTATCCCTTTCTTTCCTGATTTTTTTTCTATCCCTAGATTTTCCCCTACTTTTCTTATGAAATATCTTGCTACCTTGGTGTAAAACTGGATTTTATAAATTCCTGTATCTTGTTTAATATTTGGATGGATTTTATACATTTTTTTCATTCGCAAAAATCAAGTTGAAAATAATACATGTGTGTTGTTTCAATGTTGTGTATTATTTGGGCATTGGGTTCTGGGTGGTGCTACTTTTCGCATCTTGAAATAAGGATCGGTCCTTATGAGGATAGTTTAGAACAAAAATAGACTACATAGGTATTTGAAAAGCCTCTGGTTTTTAAAATCACATGTCTTGAAGCGTACAGCCACTTTGAAACCTTTCAAGGTTTCTATTTTAAATGAAGTAGCCACCAACTGAGTTTGAGGGGAAATTTTGCTAAATTTCATATTAAGAGTCGGAAGTGACTGAACGAATAAACAACAACAATCAAGCACTTGTTGTTCATTCATTCAGGTACTTCTGACTCTTCGTGATCTCATGGACCAGCCCACGCCGGAGCTCCATGTCAGCCGTCACCACCCCCAGCTCCTTCAGAGTCAAGCCAGTCACTTCAAGGATATCATCCATCCATCTTGTTCTTGGTTGGCCCCTCTTCCTTTTTCCTTCCATTTCCCCCAGTATCGTTATTTTCTCCAAGCTTTCTTGTCTAGCGCTTACAGGCCGCAAGCACTTACAGGCAGATTATGCTGGGACAAGTGTATGTGTTGTAAAACATAAGGTACTTTTACTAAAAAAATAAGAGTCTGCACTTCAAATTCATGCTCTGCTACTAGTGAGGTCCCAGCCCACCTATGTCAAATCACTGTTAACACTCAGCTCTTGCAGCCAAGTTTTACCTTAATGAAAAAATGCACAAAGGAGGGCCTTCTTCAAGTGTCAAAATAGCAAAGATGTATAACTAATGGTGTAAGGGTAATGTGTTTCTCCTCCACCTATAGTAGTGCTTGTGCTTGCAGGTAAACTGAGGAGGAGGAGGAAGAGAATCCCCAGTGGGTGACAACTGAGTTCATATTTCCTGTTCATCAAAAAATAAAACCTGGCTCCACTTCCTCACTTCATGAAACAACAGCAGCTGAAGAGTGCCAAGCACTTCAATTTGGGTTTGTTTTCAGTGGTGGGATTTCTCCTGGATGCTCCTTGGAGATCCACATACACTGGACTCTTAGCAGAACTTGGGAAAACTGCTTCTTAGGACAATAGCCCCCTGAATCTGTCACCCAGGGCGTTGTGATGTTGCCTTGTGGTCATTTCTGACTTAGCACAACCCTAAGGTGAACCTATCACTGGGATTTCTTCTGCGCAAGATGTGTTTGCCTTTCTCTGAGAGAGACTTGCCCAAGGTTACCCAGGCGCCTTCTACACTGCCAAATAATCCAGGTTTTCTGCTTTGAACTGGATTATATGAGTCTATACCACCATGCAATCCAAGTCAAAGCAGATAATCTGGATTTTATATGGGAGTAGAAGAGGCCTCTGAGAGTTTTCATAGCAGAGTGGGTGGCTGAGCCCTAGTCCGAACCACACTGAACCACTTTGGCTCTCCAGCTAGCATTACCAGTTGGGATTCAAAAAGCATGCTTTCCAGTGTATTGTCGAAGGCTTTCACGGCCAGAACCACTGGGTTATTGTAGGTTTTTCGGGCTGTATGGCCATGTTCCAGAAGCATTCTCTCCTGATGTTTACCAGCATCTCTGGCAAGCATTCTGAGGTTGTGTGGGGGAAAGAACTCTTGTCTGTTGGAGCTAGGTGTGAATGTTGCATCTGGCCACCTTGATTAACATTTGATGGTCTAGAAGTTTCAAGGTCTGCCTGCTTCCTGCTTGGGGGACTCCTTTGTTGGGAGGTGATTAGCTGTCCCTGATTGTTTCTTGTCTGGAGTTTCCCCATGTTTGAGTGTTGTTCTTTATTTACTGTTATAATTTTAGAGTTTTGGCTACCAGTATTAAAAAATCAGGGACAGTTAATCACCTCTCAACAAAGGAGTCCCCCAGGCAGTAAAAAGTCACACCTAAAAACTGCCAGGCGTTCAAATGCTCACCAAGATGGCCAATTGACAAGTGTTCTTTCTCCCACCCTGGACTTTCCACAGATATATAAACCCCATTTTCCTAGTTTCCAACAGACCTCACAACCTCTGGGGATGCCTGCCAGAGATGCAGGCGAAACGTCAGGAGAAAATGCTTCTAGAATATGGCCATACAGCCGGGGGGGGGAGGGGGGGACTTATAACAACCCAAGTTTTCCAGCTTTAAGTGCAGCCATCCACATTGTATGGTTAATGAGGTTGGACACCACTGGGAGTGTAAGGGCTCAATGCTACGGAATCCTGGTTGTAGTTGTGGTTGTGTAAGTTCTTTAGTTTGACCATCTCGATGCGCCCTTGGGGAAATCTTTCAGTGCAAATTTAAGAGGAAATCGAGCAGAATTGCATAGGAATGGATATTGTGTCCCGAATTGCGCCTGAGGGCAAAACAAGTAGGAAAAGGCCCTTTTGCTGTCCAAGCCAAACTGGGTCCAAAACCAGCCTGGCTTTCCTGGAGGACGGCGAATCCTCAACGCACGCGATTCCCCGGATGAGCACGCGGTGGCGCTGGCGAGCACTCCTTGCCCGGCTGTCTCCGAACAGGAAGCCGCTCTCGCGAGAGCCGAGATCTCACTAGTACCGCCGGAAGTTTGTGGGAGCTCTCTTTCCGGGCGGCCATCGCCGAGGTAGCAGCGGGTGAGGCCCGGCGGGGGAAGAGTCTTTTTTGGAATCCGTCGCCATCCGTTCGTAGGGGGCTCATACTGGGTCACGGCTGGCGGCCAAGCCCAGAGGGAGGGAGAGGCTTTCTGCGAGGGCGCCAGTATTGGAGGCGGGAGGGAGGAGGGGATAGCGGGGGCGCCTCTGCTTTCGCCGTTCTGACGGGTTCGGGGCCTATGGGCGACCGGCAGAGTGGATATAGTGGACGGGGAGGATGGAGGGGCCTCTCTCGAACCCGAGAATGGGAAGCCTTCACCGAGGTGGGAGTGCGAGCGTGGCACGGAAGGGGCCTGGCCTGAGAGACCTTGCATATGTCACCAGGAAGCTCCACTTCAGGGCCAGAGGGAAGAGCTTTCCAATCCTCCTCCAAGTTGTGGATTCAACCATCCACAACTTGCAAATGCATGTGTGTGTATTAAAAATCAACACTAAAGTGTCATTTTACCACTATAAGGGGCATCATTTTACTATGCCATTGTATATGGGTTTTGGTATCCCAGGACCAAACCTTAGCAGCTACAAAGCTACATGCCTTTGGATTCTCATTGTAAGCTGCAGGTGGAATTGCAGTTGCTTCTCCAGAGATTTCTTCGTCTTGTTTATACATCTCACCAGTTTCCACATATATGAATGCCCTTACCACAACTTGTCCATCTCTTTAGTACAAGTTTGCTCTCCTGCCCTTCTAGGCCATTGCACCATTATAGTTTCTATTGGCATAATTCTAGCACTGGTCTCTGAAGTACTTTGTTAAGATTATCCTGTGCATGTTTAGTTAGGGTTCGTTATGAGCTTTATTTCAGAGTAAACCTGAATGGACTTTTGCTGCAAGACCAATCAATATATTGTCCCTAATCTTAAATTCACAACTGTGCAACCTAAGCATTTTCCAAGAGAAAATTGAGAAACGTTTAGCAACTTGCAAGTTATTGCCAGAATATGGTTATGGTTAAACCAGAAATAAGTTTAGTTATGGATTATACTGGTATTAGGGAACAATGAATTTTCTTAATGCTATTTAGTGAGCACTATTAGAATCCAGTTGCATGGGAACTTTAAGCCTGGCATTCAAATGCCAAGCCTTCCTACCCCATTTATACAGATCAGAGACTCTTTTCTTACTGTGTTGTTAACGACTTTCGTGGCCGGAATCAATGGGTTGCTATGAGTTTTCCAGGCTGTATTGCCATGTTCCAGAAGCATTCTGTCCTGATGTTTCACCCACATGTGTCATAGGCATCCTCAGAGGTTTTGAACCTCATAACCTGAGGATGCCTACCACCATGTTCCAGAATGCTTCTGGAACATGGCCATACAGCCCAGAAAATTCACAGCAACCCAATCTTTTCTTAGTTTCAGAATATGGGCAATGGTAATCCAGACCCCATTAAAATAATAATATCTAACTTGTATTGCTTGGTGTACACTTTTGGAGTGATACTCTTAAAAATACTCCTTTTAAAAATAAAATAACATTTGTTTATTATTGTATAGGCCAAGTACATCTTCTTTCAAAATATCCCAAATATAACATGTATTACCTAAACTTTCTTAACAAAGAAAAAAAAGGATTTTCGTTCTCCCATATAAAATAAAAAGTACTAAAGCACAATCACTTTTTTAATTTACAAGTTGATGTTAATTTACAAAGACATTTTTATAAAAACAATTTGACATCATCTCGCTATAGTATATTATTTAAAGCCTTGGCGTTTAGTTTGCAGCTATATGATGATTTTACTAATCATCAAATGTTCTCAGTCTTTTGTGAGGCTCTACTCTTCAAAGGCAGAGAGGAGTGGGATTAGTGTTCTTCCCCTTTACATGTTTGTTTATTTTTCATTCATAATAATTGGATAGACTTGTAGTGTTCTCAAATGAGCTTTTTATCAGTGAATATATAACAATTTTGTATGTGTTTTTTTTCTCCAGTCAAGATGAAGTTCAATCCATTTGTGACCTCTGACCGCAGCAAGAATCGCAAACGGCACTTCAATGCACCATCACATATTCGCAGAAAGATCATGTCCTCTCCACTGTCCAAGGAACTGAGGCAGAAATACAATGTCCGTTCCATGCCCATTCGAAAGGATGATGAAGTCCAAGTATGTAATTTTAAATATCTGTTTTTGTGTGGGGGAAAATAAACTGTCTTTCTATCTAGCTAGCTCAGTGACATAGTCAGTGAGATAGGTGGTCAATTTTTGCATCACTGCAAATAGTGGATACTGGACTTTTTAGTTCTAAGGGAACTCATTCCCTTTTTTGGTTTATTTTTGACGCATCTTAAGTTCTTCCTTAGGCATCAGGCATATGAATACTACATTTCATGGTATAGCTTAGTTTCCTAAAACAGTAATTTTGGATGTGCATCTGTAGCGTGGTGTGGGTGCTGTATTGTTTTAGT